ATCACCAATCAATTTTTAGGTTTCAGGATTTTTTTTATACCTAACTTTGTTTAAGGATGGTTTTCAACTATGCTCTAAAATATATAACAAAATTATTTGATATACCATTTTGCTTTATGCAATATGTGTGTAAAAATTCCATAAACTGGTTTTCCCATTAAGCACAATGTTATCTATACACTGTATCTAATTTGCATATTAAAGTGCTGTTGGGACAGCATGTTGAAAAAAGAAGTGTAATAATGGGAGTAGTAATTGGCCAGATTTTCATAGTAATAAACAATATTTCATAAGAATATTGATATATAATTTGTTTTCCTATTCAATTCTTTTGTCTCCCAAAATGTATAATAAACATGCTTTTAGTCTTGGTGTCCTCTACAGTGGACATGTATGAAATTATGTCCTGTTTCATAACAGGAAGTCATATTTTGATTTCAAACCCCATAACATTTTCCTGAGATGGTGATTTATGACAAACAATTTGAAAATTAATCATATTTAAATTATAATTACAAAATATTATCATATTTCCATAAGGACGTACAATTGTATCACTAAATTAATGTCAGCCATTTTAAAAACCAAGGAGAGGGAGTGGCCATGGTGAAACATCCAATCATTTGGTATCTCTGGAAAGCCCTGAATGTGCTCTGTACTGGACATCCAGACTTAAAACGGTGACATGTGAGGTCTCAGAGAAATACACCAAAATATGTCAACTACAGAGGCAAAAAGTCCATAGCTGGGTCTCAGGAGGATATTGTGCATATACAGAGTTTTTCCAATCAAATATGAATTCAATTTGTTTACTTAACTTCAGTGTATCTGGCCAGAACAACACAGCAGGCTGTCAATTTAAATTTAAGTCATACTACACCATTCAAAGATATGTTACATAACAGCTCATGCTTCAAAAACCATTTCTAAGAGCATCATATGTGACATCAGACCAGAAATCCCTGCCAACACACTTCTCTTCTCCTTCTATAATGACATTACGCCTCGTGACTCACAGCAAAACAGCTGCAATTTGGTTAAGGTGAACCTTTCACCACAATCAATGTTCTGATTAGACACGCAAATCAGATTACAGGTAAGTCACCAAACATTCTCATATGCTATATATGATAATGTCATGTGACCATACTGTACCTCTAATCAGCATTTTAATTCTATTTCAAATAAATGCGGATCTTTTGAACTTTGTATTTATCAAAGAATGTGATCCCCGACTTGCTTTTTTTAAGGATCATGTGACTGGAGTAATGATGCAGAATATTCAGCTTTGCCATCACAGCAATAAATTACATTTTAAATTATATTAAAACAGAAAACTTATGAACCCCAAACTTCTGAACAGTAGTGTATGTGTCATTTACACAATACTAAGTATTTCACTAATAACAGTGAAATCATAGTAAATGCTTTTTTGTTTTTACCTATACTACATCAGACTTCTCTTGCAACCAGCATTTATATTCTAACTGAAACCAAGCAGATGTTTTCTGCCAAACATAAAACATTCTTTTTTAGAAGGTGCTGCAGCATGCACACACACACAAACATTTTCATAGAATTTCTGTATTCCAAAGGGAGCAGCTGTAGACTTACATAAACAGCTTAAGGAGAGGCTGCTTTCATGGGTGTATTCTTCACTGCATTAGTATGTTCGTGTGTTATGTGTGTCTCATTCAGTCCCTATACAGTGTCTATTTGAGAAACCTTTAGGTTATGTAGAGAGCAACAGCCCTGAGACAACAATGTATTACCTAAGACTACACTCTTAAAAATAAAGGTGCTTCAAAAGGTTCTTCAAGCGATGCCATAGAAGAACCATTTTTGGTTCCACAAAGAACCATTCAGTCAAAGGTTCTTTAAAGAACCATCTCTTTCTTACCTTTTTATAATCTGAAGAACCTTCTTTCGCCAGAAAGAACCTTTTGTGAAACAGAAAGGTTCTTCAGATGTTAAAGATTCTTTTATGGAACCATTTAGACAAAAAGGTTCTTCTATGGCATCGTGAAGCACCTTTATTTTTAAGAGTCTACTGCTGAGCCATGCATATCACACACACACACACACACACACACAAACAGACACACTATGCTCGCTGGTCAGTGAAAATTAATTCCACAATTCAACCCACACACCATGAGAAATGGGAAAATCCCTTCTTCTGTGTACTAATGCTTCACATTTTTTATATCGTTGTTGCAGTTACAACAAAGATTATTGGAGTACGTTTCACAAGAAAATACTATTTCTGTCTTACAACTTTTTTAAAAATCACGTTTAATTCAGTGTTGCTTGCCATTTCATTTTGTAATTATTTGTGAAATTTACTAGCAATTTCTTAGTGAAAATTGATTCAAACCAATTTTTCATAGTACAAAGTATTTGTGATGTCAATCATTCACTTTAAACCTGGTACTGATAAACAGACAGGCAGAGATGTAATGCAATGTACAAATGTGTACAATGTACAAAGCCTTTTTATCATTCCAGTAACGCTACTTCAATCTGAAGAGAGAGAGAGACAGAGTTTATCTCTTAAAACATCATCCTGAGGCATTAGAGAATGCAGACTGCAGCCCATTATTTCTACTCTTAGAGATGACAAGTTTATGTGAGGACAAGGAGAGGATACAAACCAACAATTCCATTGTAAAGTAAACAATGAGAGAAAAAGGATTACAAAAATGTAGATTAAGAGAAGAACAGCTGGAAAGAAAAAGCAAGAGAGGTACATCAATTTGAGCTGACAACAAAAAAATCACATTTGCTTTTTAAACCGGTCAAAGACCTGTTTGAGATCACCTGCCCTATTCCAGCATGTGACTTTAGGTCAACGCTTGACCTGAGATCGTCTGACTGTCAGTCATGTGATTTGACCCACCAGAACCTTTTGATTCATTCTGCAGGAAGCTTATGACATTTGGAATGTTTTACCTCTGCTCACAAGTACTGAGGGAAATGTAGTTCAATATAAAGGTGGAAGGATTGCTTTGTCTCTCTGTCTGTCTGTGTTTGCCAAGACTGAATGTTCCTTGTGACTAAACATCACCTTCATTTCAGGAATAAAATGTGATACAACACACACCTTTGCACTAATGCACTAGATGACAGAGCGATAGGAAGTCTAGCGTGCCATGGAGAAAATGAAAATGAACCATCACTCATAGGATGGTTATAGCCAACAATTTCCCTTCATCCTTATAAGTGGTTAAATCTAAACTATCATTTGTTTACGGTCACCGCAATTTCATATTGACTTACATTTAGCAGTTTAATCAAAAGAGGATCACATATTTTGTTTTAAAAAGCCAACAAGTCAACTAAAGTAAATTAAAATTATTTTAATCATTTCAAATAATTATGTTTTAAAGAAATAGTTCACCCAAAAATTACAATTTGCTGAAAATGTATTCACTCTCAGGCCATCCAAGAAAAATTCAAACCATTGCTTCTGGCCATAATCCAGAATAGCACTTCCACCGAGTCCATCCCTTGTTATCCACTCACATCAAAATAATCCATATTTGACACAAAATATATTTCTTTATACCTGTGTTGGACTATTCTCTCTTGAAAACCATGCTTGATCTGTTCATATTTCTCTCTTGATTCATACGAGATGACTTGAAAAACAATATCATGGATAGAGGACTTGTATTTAGCCGGAAGCAACAGTTTGACATTAAAAACATCCTAATTCTGGATTTGTTTCAACACACCGCTTTTCACTTCACAAGACGTTAATTGATGGACTGGAGTCGTGTGGACTATTGTGATGTTTTTATCAGCTGTTTGGATTCTGACGGCACCCATTCACTGCAGAGGGTCCATTGATGAGTAAGTGATGTAATGCTACATGTCTCCAAATCCGTTACGGTGAAAAAACAAACTCATCTACATCTTGGATGGCCTGAGGGTGAGTACATTTTCAGCAAATTTGTAGCAGATGACGGGTGAAAAAAATAACACACCAACAGTTGCTTAAAGCACTTTGCTTATAAAACTGTTTTGTCAAATAACTTAAAAATGAACTTTATGCAGAAACATCTAAATGAACAGCTTTTAATCAAGTCAGATATATTATTTAATATGTCTGAATAAACCTGAATATTGTGTTTCACGGCCCCTTACAGTAGCAACTGCAATTTTTACAATGAAATAGAACTGAGAATACACTGTTTTCAGAATGTGATGTGACTATATTCATCCATTGAAATGACTAATACTCAATCAGGTACATTCACATGCAATCTACTAGCCAAGTTAATGCACTGCACATCAAAACTCAATCTTAATTAACATCTCTTAGTCAATAAAAAGTGTTTTTAAAAACAATCCATTGTATGTTACTTGTAGGAAGTAAAAAAAAATAGTACAAATGATAGAAGAATGAGATAACACTTTACATTACACGTAAATACACATATTAGATGTTCCTGTAATTATTACAATAATGCCAATAACAACGTGCAAACACAAGCGGTTCCGCAACACAATTAAGTACTGTTCATTACTCCGTACTATATAATTACACAATTATAGGAACACTGTAACGTAAGATCAAATATTAAAATGCAGTTATGAGCATCACAACAGGGCGTGGGCCTTTCCAGTATATGCCAACTATCTCAGAGAGGATGCGTCAGGCAATGAAAAAAAAAATCTATTTTTTGACCAATTTCAATTTCATGTACATAAGTGCATAGATTTACATACACGTTAAATTGGTGCCAGACAAGAAAAAGACGACAAGAAAAAAATTAACAATAACAAGGTCGTTATTGCTGATCCACATCAACATCACAAGGATGCTGAGCATCACTGCTTGCGGATGCTGATGATGCTGATCTCTAGATGTGTTTGAGGACATCACAGACGCATAAACAGCGCTGATGGTCACATATGGCCAGCTTATATGAATAAAAATGCCAGAAGAAAAAGGAAACCCCGCGCATACTCGAGAGAAATACAGCGTGTCTTACCTGCATCCCGGAGGAGAGAGGGAGTGGAAGGTGGAGAGAGAAAACATCTCTGCCCTGTCCGCCATCTTCTTAGTGACTCAAAAACAGAGACTGCAGATGCAGATGTCCGCAGCCCATCCACAGACGCTGGAGAAGCGGATATTAAATATGATCTCGCCGATTTCTCTCCTTTTCGGCCACACTGACTGCTGACGCCCGCTGGGAATCAAAACGGCCCAATCGCTGATCCAAAGAAATGAGAGTCAGATGTACAGAACGCACATTGGTGGCGATGTATTGATATCGATTATCTTCTGTTTCAGTCACACACCTGCTGATGAACCAGTGCGCTGTTTGGCGTGATCTCCGCGCATCTGATGATGCTGATGCTGATGCTGATGAGGGAGGGGGGCAGAGGCGCGTGCATGGATCTCATAGAAATAGAACGAGCGGGTAGAACGCCAATGAACGTTCAACGCTCCTATGAAGGGTGTGGCTTAGAGGTCCAGAGGTTGTCTGTGATTGTCAGGTTGATGGGTCAATTCGAATTAATAATAATAATAATATTTATTTATTTATTTTCTCTTCACTGTTCATTGAATTAAATGTCGATTCATGTTCTCAATGCCATTTTTCAGGTGTAAATTATTGTCCAGGGGATCATTCCACAAAACGAGTGTCTTTTTCTGCTTAAAAAAAAATTAATTAAAGAATTGACATCCTTTCAAAAGGTAATTATGGCAGTTGCTTAATAGATTATATACATAATTTGAATAACCTGCACTGTAAAAAAAATCCGTAAAATTTACGGTAAAAAACCGGCAGCTGTGGTTACCATAAAAAATACAGTAGCAATATTTTAGGTTTTACTGTTTTAACTTAAATGTACAGTTAAATACCGTAATTTCATTAACTGATGTAATGTTATTATACCAACCTATAGAAGTACTGAAATCTGTTTTGTACCTTTGTTATACACTGATAACCACCAAATGCAGACAGTGATGAGAAAGTCACATGATGAACCAAAGCCCATCACAAGCAGCTTTTAAATAATAACATATATAGAAGGTGCACGGTGTCATTCACACAAACACTAAACACCATCACGGTAACACACATGAAACTGAAATAATGCAATAAACATTCATTTAACAACATTAGGTGTAACCCACAACCCTAATATACAAAACTGATAAGAAAAAACTGAGAAGAAACATAATTATTTCAACAAAAAAACATCAAATTTGAAATGTAACGCAGGGAATTCTGGGAATGTCAATTTACAGTTATTCACTGTAAATTATACAGTATTTTTCACTTCCAAATACATTACATGTATGTCCAATACATGTAATGTCCAATACATGTAATGTCCAATACAGTTTTCACCGTATATAGTAGGGGAATTTACCGTTAACCATTTAACAGTTTTTTACTGTAGCATTTTTACAGTCTTTTACCATTAAATTCATGGTAATTTTTTACAGTGTGGGGAATAAACAGCACATTTTACAGTGTTTTATGTGTTATTTTATTAAGATTTTTATTCAATTAAAAACCGTAAAAGCAGGTGTCATTGTTTATACTTTTTTTTTTTTTTGCACAGGCATTTACAAGCATAAAGACAATAAACAAAATATTCTAAGAGGGTTACAATACATGCGATTCTGAAAATATAAGTATTACCACATAGAAGAGTCTTAGTTGAATTCTGAGTTATGCTAAGTAACTCAAATATAGCTACTATATAATAAATATTGAAATATATTTCTTTAAAAATGTACAATTATGAATGTAAAATTTTGCCAGGAATAGTGATTCAATAATTATAAACCTAATACGAATAGAGTCACCCAAAAGCACAAATATTGGCTAATAGATACAGAAGTTTGGGGAAAATTCCTTTTACAAAATTATAAAACCCAGTTCAAAACACTTCCATAATAAGTGATTATTTCTTCAAAGTGATGACAAAAGGAGCAATTCGGTGAAATACTGTCATTAAAGTTTATACATATTTCTCAGGCACAAAAAGACCCCATTTTTTGGAATAAATCTGATATTACGTGGTACCAGTTACTTTTCTCGGCGCAGGTCGAGATGGACGCATCATATAGCCTATAGACTTAGTTTGTGATTATGACATGCAAATTTATTAAAAAATAATAATAATAACGTTTGCTAGGTGCGTATGCATTTGTATGTCAGAAACCAATTATTGAAATGAATAGATTTAAATGATTAAATTTTTTAGTATACAAATATCTCCAAAAAACGTATTGAGATTCAAATGCGTCTCAATGGAGGATTTGTTTTTTGAGCCGCCAAGCGCCATCTAGACTAGAGGATGAACATTTGTGTTTCTTCTAAAATAGTTAGTAGCTAGTTAACTGCTCAACAATCTGGCGAAACATGACCGTTCAGTCAATACAGTCACTCTATCAACTCATGTGCTTTCAGCTTTCTAAAAACCAATTATGTAATAACTCGCCAATATTTAACAGCCAAATTATAAGCTTAAGCACAAAAGGAAATTCATTCTCTTAGTAGTAAATTATTTATGAAATAACTACTCAAAAGTAGGCCTACTAGAAAGTACCATGGCGATACTACATTTTTTGGACATATAGCCTATAGGGCAGGGATCCTCAAATCTGGCCCACGAGATCCACTTTCCTGCAGAGTTTAGCTCTAAGCCTAATCAAACACACCTGAGCATGCTAATCAATGTCTTCAGGATCATTAGAATATCATAGGTAGCTGAGCTTGATCAGGGTTGGAGCTAAACTCTGCAGCGCATTGGACCTCCAGGGTAAAATTTGAGGAACCCTGCTATAGGGTATATGGGCATATGTTCTTTAAAGTACCTGAGAATACCGTAAGATATTGTAAATTAAATATTATTATTATTATTATTTAAAAAGTATGCACAGAATGTTCATATGAAAGTTTGTGCAAATGTAAGACATCTCAGGGGGGGAAATAGGCAGTATAACAGGTTAATAGTCATTCAAGCACAGCATTTTTGCTTATATCAATAAACAGGTGTCTATGTAACAATCATAAAGCATCATTTAGTTGGATCATTAACCCTTGTTCTGCCGCAGAGGAGCTGTTCAGTGATTGGTGCTGAAAGTCTTACTAACAGAAAGAGTAGCAACAGTGGTGGAAGTGAGTAATGCAGGGAACACCCTGCTGCAATTCAAATATGAAGATGTTTTAGGACCTGGTGTTTCCTGCACAGACAAAATATTAGCTGACAATGTGATTTGAAGATAAGTGTGAATGTATGATTCTCTGTGTGTGAGAATGGAGAAAGACTCGGAGAGTGTGAGCGATTTAATTCTCCTTACAGTACTGTAAGAGCAGATCATAAAATTATGCAGTTTAATCTTTGAAGTAATAGTATATATCAGGAGAGCAATACCCCTTACACCAGGCTGGGACATGCTTTTTTTAATAGACATTAAGGCCTGGAGTTCATTGATAAAAAAAAACAGGCAGCTGTTTTTGCCAGAACTTTACGGCAGAAAATAAAGTCATGTTAATGTGTTAATCTGTTTGTTATTATATACAATATACTGAGAATAACGTAGGTGATACAATGGAAGGCCACGTGATGATTTAAAGTTCCTAAAACTTGGCTTTTTTTCTAGCTGTGATAAACAATAACAGAGCGTTACCCACACAAACACTATCACACTAACACACATTACATTCAAATAATCCTATAAATATTTGCTAAACAGTATGTAACAAAACTGAAATAAATAAATATATAATGTTTTAAAAAATAAAATATGATGGGTTGTGATAGGAATTCTGGGAATGCCCCTTTCCACATAAATAAGGGGCACATAAGTGGTGCGCAGGATAGATCGACTAACTGTAATACTGTATAAGATTTCCATTCTGAAAGCATAAATCTAGGCTATGCGTTGCGGTTTCAGCACAAAACTTAAAAAAAACCTGACATTTCTTTCATTGAAGCTCTTCACTCGGCAGCGCTAAAACCAACAGTCCACAGCCCCATTGACTCCCTCAAAGAGAAAACTGAAGTCACTGCATTTGGAAACAAAGATGACGTTCTCAAGCTGAATTCATACCTTGACTCTAGGGGTCAAACAACTTAAAATCAAGTCAGGAATCTTGGTGTAATTCTGGAGTCAGACCTTAGTTAGTCATGTCAAAGCAATGACTAAATCAGCTTACGATCTCAAAAACATAGCAAGAATTAGATGTTTTGTTTCTAGTCAAGACCAGTCAAACTTGTCCATGCCTTTGTCACCAGCAGGGTGGACTATTGTAACGGTCTCCTCACCGGCCTTCCCAAAAAGACCATTAGACATCTGCAGCTCATCAAAAACGCTGCTGCCAGGATTCTGACTAGAACCAGAAAATGAGCATATCACACCAGTCCTCAGATCTTTACACTGATGTTAATCTGTTTGTTATTATATACAATATACTGAGAATAACGTAGGTGATACAATGGAAGGCCACGTGATGATTTAAAGTTCCTAAAACTTGGCTTTTTTTCTAGCTGTGATAAACAATAACAGAGCGTTACCCACACAAACACTATCACACTAACACACATTACATTCAAATAATCCTATAAATATTTGCTAAACAGTATGTAACAAAACTGAAATAAATAAATATATAATGTTTTAAAAAATAAAATATGATGGGTTGTGATAGGAATTCTGGGAATGCCCCTTTCCACATAAATAAGGGGCACATAAGTGGTGCGCAGGATAGATCGACTAACTGTAATACTGTATAAGATTTCCATTCTGAAAGCATAAATCTAGGCTATGCGTTGCGGTTTCAGCACAAAACTTAAAAAAAACCTGACATTTCTTTCATTGAAGCTCTTCACTCGGCAGCGCTAAAACCAACAGTCCACAGCCCCATTGACTCCCTCAAAGAGAAAACTGAAGTCACTGCATTTGGAAACAAAGATGACGTTCTCAAGCTGAATTCATACCTTGACTCTAGGGGTCAAACAACTTAAAATCAAGTCAGGAATCTTGGTGTAATTCTGGAGTCAGACCTTAGTTAGTCATGTCAAAGCAATGACTAAATCAGCTTACGATCTCAAAAACATAGCAAGAATTAGATGTTTTGTTTCTAGTCAAGACCAGTCAAACTTGTCCATGCCTTTGTCACCAGCAGGGTGGACTATTGTAACGGTCTCCTCACCGGCCTTCCCAAAAAGACCATTAGACATCTGCAGCTCATCAAAAACGCTGCTGCCAGGATTCTGACTAGAACCAGAAAATGAGCATATCACACCAGTCCTCAGATCTTTACACTGACTTCCAGTTACATTTAGGATTGATTTTAAAGTATTATTACTTGTTTATAAATCACTAGGCCCTCAATACACTGCAGATATGCTCAATAACAGACCACTGTCAATTGGGGTTCAGACACACTCTCTCGGTTTAAATCTAGATTAAAGACACATCTCTTTGGCCAAGCATTCACATAATGCATCTCATAATCTAGTACTGCAGTTATATCTGATCAAATGCGCATTATTATTCTTTAGCTTGGGTTAAACAAATACATTTTGCTTGGTTGGAACAGCAGCTACGCTAATTGACACCCCGTGGTAACTAGGATTTACACAAGCTTCAGTCTGGATCCAGAACACCTGAGAAGAGATGATGCCAACCCCTCAGAGGACCTCAGATGATGCCAACCCTGAAACAACTTACAGAACTACCACATTTTGCTATAAGTTTGATTCCATCATATAATAATTGCTGTTAATAGAGTTCATTGTCCGTTTTCTGTACATTTGTACGTTTTTCTTTACATTTCTGCCATATGTACATTAACTGACAGTCACCACTGATAAACTACCACTAAATATTGTAGAAACCTAAATCGTGAAAAGCGCTATACAAATAAACTTGAATTTAATTTAATTGAACCACTCAGATCATTAGGATCAAGTCAGTTAGAAACACCAAGGGTTCACTCAAAACAAGGGAAGTCCACTTTTAGCTGTTACGCCCCTCGCAGTTGGAACCAGCTTCCAGAAGAGATCAGATGTGCTAAATCAGTAGCCATATTTAAATCCAGATTTAAATCCTGAACTGATTGCAATGTATTTTATGTATCATCATCTTTTATTCTTAAAAAAATAATTTCCTTGCTTTTATTGTTGATTATTTTTTATTATTTTCATTCTACCATTGTGACGTGACATGTGGCCAAGTATGGTGACCCATACTCGGAATTAGTGCTCTGCATTTAACCCATCCAAAGTGAACACACACACACCACACACACACCGTGAACACACACCCGGAGCAGTGGGCAACCATTTATGCTGCGGCGCCCGGGGAGCAGTTGGGGGTTCGGTGCCTTGCTCAAGGGCACCTCAGTCGTGGTATTGAAGGTGGGAGAGAGTGCTGTACATTCACTCCCCCCACCTACAATCCCTGCCGGCACGAGACTCGAACCCACAACCTTTGGGTTACAAATCCGACTCTCTAACCATTAGGTCACGACTTCCCCACATTGTGTGTGAAATCTGCTATATAAATAAACTTGCCTTGCCTACTGTAAAATAATTGTATTTTTATTTAATGCTCACTTGTTATCTTAAAATATAATAGTATTGACACTATTTATTATTTTGTGTATTTTTTTATTTAAAAATACAAAATAAAGTGCAATGATAGTATTATCACTATTATTATTTTAATTTGTATAGTTATATTTAATGAGTCACGCTATGTGGAGTGTGAGCACCAAACAAGATCTCCAGGTGCTCTCATGAGAACCAGACTGAAAACCGTGTGTGCACCCCTGCATATTACATTGTTTAATGTATTTTTGTTCTCAATAATAAGGCAAATCATAATTTTATATTTCTTAAAAAAAACACACATTTTACAATATTTACAGTGGAAGTCACTTAATTCATTAACGCAATAGATTTTATTGTAACATTTTACTTTTCAATACAATAGCTTATCGTACAGTGTGCTAAATTAACTACACTTCCCACTATTCATTGCACTTGGTAAGAACCGACCTATCAGCGCTCTGGCTTTTAGGGGGCGGTACTAGAAATGCGTTGCGTGCCGCGGTATTCAAAACTGATTGGTTAAAATAAAGGTCAATCTTCTTAAATCAATCTGCAGCGATAACTTCACAAGGAAGTTGAAGTGGGAAGATATTTAATTGACAGCCTTTACAGTTTGGGAATACGTCTGCGTATTTAATATAACAGTTAAGTAAAGGTCATGTGGAAAAAAATAGCTAGTATTTTTTTCCATTTAACGTTGGTTTCTCTCGCCGTAACGGTGTCTGATATCGCGAGCGATTAGATGTTTCATTGTGCGCTCGTGACAGGGGTGCATGTGCGTCTGTTCACGCTCAATTAAAGCTGCTTCTGGAGCGCATAGGTGTTCCTACTTAGGGGTTCGGTTCTCTCACTTTAAGGAGCATTGGATTTCTAACTGCGTAAGATCATGAATTCGGGCCAAAAGGTGGAGTGCATGAGTGATGGAGCTGGAAGTGCAGGGGATTCAGACAGACCTGCTGGCGGAGACTCACTGATGGTAGCCGAAGAGAGACATCCGAGATCTGCCAGTCCCCGCGGTGTAACCGGGGATGACGACTCTGAAGCGGAGTCCCATCAGGACGGCCGTAACGTGGCTGTGGACCCGGATACTAGAAAGAGGGCGTTTAGCTGGTGCCGTGACTTTCTGTCCGGATCATGGAAGGCTATATCGGAACATGGCTTTCAGATCACAATAGTCAGGTGTTCAAACTATTTATAAAAGAATTTACAGATATTTAGGTTTCAAATGATTTCACTTAACTTTTCATATATTTATAATAATAAAAACAATATTTAATATAATGTATGTATGTGTCTTCAGAAATCATTCGAATATGTATTAAGTATTAATTTCTTTCAAAGATAAAAAATCTTACTGACCCCAAAACTGTTGAAAAGTAGTGTATGTGTCTTTGTATGCTAACACCCTTAGCCCAGTTCCAGGCATCTCTGATTAGGCACTTAAAGGAAACTGCATTCTGTGCATACTCGGCTTGCTCGGTCAATCTCACACACACACACACACACACACACATGTGATTGAGAAACTTTTCTCTGAATTAAGTGCTTGTCTACTGTTCGGTGTGTGTTCCAGTACATTTCTGCACTTTTTTTCATTGGGCTTTTAAACAATGAAAACAATCATTTTAAAAGCAGGTTTATAAGAGCAATATAATAAAGTAGCACTTAACCATGTGCCGTCTCTCTCTCTCTCTCAGGTCACTGCTGGCAGCTACTCCCTCTCCAGTTGTGTTCTGTCATAATGACGTACAGGAAGGTAAGCAATCTCACATTTACATTCATACACGCACTCCAGAGTCCTGGCAGCTGCCTAATCTGCTGATTTTATACGGGTCTGTCAATCACTGTTGTGTTGTACCATTATGCAACATATCTGCCCTTTCACCTATAAAATCATACTTTGTTCTTCAGGCAATATCCTCATGTTGGATGGCCGGGAGAATTCATCTGACAAACTAATGCTTATTGATTTTGAATACAGCAGCTATAACTACAGGTAAAACTACCCTATATATAACATACATGTGCTTATCATTTTATAGTTTATAATAAATGCAGCTCTGATGTACTCTGAATTTGGTCTGCTCTGAGTGCAGAGGCTTTGATTTTGGGAATCATTTCTGTGAATGGATATATGACTACACGTATGACCAGTGGCCCTTCTACAAGGCAAAGGTGGAGAATTACCCCAACAGACAACAGCAGGTGAGTCACAACATGCTCCCCCACACACTACTGCCTATCATTAATGGCCTTAATATTACACAAGATGAGACAAGGGGGAAAAAACAACAACTCTTAACAAAGGTCAATTTATAAAATGATCAACTGAAAGAAACAATTTCAGTTTATTTATGTTGTACAAATTCAAATAAGCTTAAATTAAACAGGATAGAAAGTAAAATTGAGGATCAGTATAATATGACAGATTATTATTATTATGACATTTTTTTAAATACTTTTTTTCTTATGCACATGCAATACAGCCTTATCATAAATTATATATGACATTCATTTGTGCTTGGTAGTTGTCTAACAAATTGATGACAAATGACTTGTCATACAGTTGTAAGAGATCATTTGTGTTGGACATAATGTACATGTAGGTGATGCTCTCATCTAGTGGAAAGTTTTGGAACTGACGTGACATAAAAAGTGTGTCAAAGGTTGTCACAATAACTTTTATAGAGGTTAGCAGCCTGACTGATACAATGTTTAACAGCCTTAGAAATGATTAGAAATCAGTAAAATTGTGTCATGGGGCAGGGGATAATATCAGTCCTTTTTAAATATCCAAAACAGATTAGACAAACAAAATAGATATTCCTATAAATATTATTTTGAGCCTGTTTGCGGTTTGTTTTTCAGTTACATTTTATCAGACACTATCTGTCAGAAAGGGTTGCACCTGCAGACCAAGCCAGGATAGAAGAGGACATGATCACTGAGGCAAACCGGTATGAATCGTATTTACTATCAGACTTTTATTGACATAATATGCGAAATGTGCCACTGTGTACCATTTGATGAATTTTCACCTCTACCCAGTAACCTTTCTATCTGTTTGTCTCAAAATCACATGCACACAAACAGGTTTGCCCTTGCGTCTCATTTCCTCTGGGGTTTGTGGTCCATTATTCAAGCCAATATCTCCAAAATCGAGTTTGGATACATGGTAAACTGGAAAAAAAAATTATATCACAACACACACAAACAGATTATAAATCTGACAATCTCACATTTTTTAATCCTTTTATGATAATTTTTTTTAGGATTGTCATTGCTTGATAATTAATCAAATTAATTGCATATCAGTTATGGCCAGTACAGTACAGCATCTAAATTATATAAATATTCATTCATACATTTATATCAATTTTGTAGTACTCGTTACAGAACAAGCACAAGCATTTATGAGGGTCACTATGTAACAGGTAGTTTAGGGAGAAGAACAGGTAGTTCAAGAAGAAAGCAACTCTCACAGAAAACAGGCAAATCGCAAAATAAAGGAAAACAGAGAGGGGGGGAGAGGAGAAAGTTTTGAGTAGAAGAGGAGATAACAAGTCAATGAGCTACAGACTTCCTCCCAGAGTGGATGAGGAGTCGACTGAAGGGCACAAGAGTGAAGAACAGTTAACTCCCATAAAGGACATTCCAGCCCTAGTGAAAGAAAATCGGATCTTTTTATCCATTAAGTTTCATCTGACTTAGTGTTTGACTGTTGCATTGCAGGTAATGTAAATCCATTATTTTTCTTATTAAAATCCTTTAAAGACACTCTGAATCTTTCTGTTTGATAATCTTTCATGATTAAACTAAACTGAGTTTTGTGTATTTGTCTTGTCTAGCGGTCTCTGTAAAATTATTTTGGTGATCACAAATATTTTCTTTGTAGTAAATATTTAAGAACTGTTTCAATATGCTTTTCATTCTATTTTTTTATTGCACCACATAGTGGTGTTTGAAATTGGCATTTTGTCTATATTATCCCAATGATCAACAAAATGTACCATTCACAAATATAGCAATGTCTGTCAAATTTAATATGAAAAGTTTATTTTTAGCATACAAAATGCATGTCTATTTAAAAAAATATATATATATCCTCATCTATGCAGTCATGCATCAGACATCATGTGTGTTTTGGCCAGTGTCACTGAAATCACACAGAGCTCAGCTCTCTCAGATGTCCTACTACGTTATTTCTGACCATTCAACTTTGCCCCACTTCTTCTGACTGCAGTCATATGACACGGAAAAAGAAACATAAGCTTGACAGTGGCACTGCATAACTGAACTCTGTGACTTACATGTCATTTGTAGGTCCATATAGTTTCTCATAAATGTATTTTTGTCATTTATCAGAATCTTAACCTAGAAGAGACTTAATAAGACAGGAATCTTATTAAAGCATATTCTCCTTGGAGCAATTTGAGGTGAAATGGCACAGTGGTGATTGATCTTAATAATTCTCCCGTTCATAAATTTCATGGGATGTTTCCAGCTGATCTGGACCCGTCTTTGATCTTACAGTGTGCAAATTTCCCCTGGTTTCAACCTCAAGCCTTCCATAAGGAAATAAATTCTCTGGATTTTTAATTTAAGCAGTTTAAGATACATTTTTTTACTTATTATTAATTTATCTGATGCTTGTATCTACATGGACTTACAATACATTGATCCCAAAAACATTCAACCTGAGGTTAAGTGTCACAAATAGCACAATGGTGATAATCCATCGGTCATTCCGACCATAACCTTTCACTTACTAGCCCAGATCTTTCCACTAGCCTACACCAGCTGAGCTGAAATGGCATGTAAACATGGCATAAACTGAGTGTTTGCAAAAGGTACTTTATGATGACCCATCTCTTTCCTCAGGCTGTGCTTTAAGCCTGTATAATGGCAGAGGCTCATCAGGCAGTGGCATTTCAGTTCACTGTCACACCTGATGGCATTGACCTACAGTTGAGCCGTGAGGTTCTCAAACACATCTACCTATCTGGAGTGACATCATGGAAGAAACGGGCCATACGCTTCAAGGTGAATCAATCAATCAATCAGTCATCTATCTATCTATCTCTCTCTGTCTGTCTGTCTGTCTATCTAAAAAATATATATTTTATTTTATTTTGAGCAGAACGGTGTTCTCACAGGTGTGTATCCCGCCAGTCCCTCCAGCTGGTTAATTGTAGTTATTGCGATAATGAGCACCATGTATGCCAGGATTGACCCCTCCATGGGCATGATTGACAGGATAAAGACATCTCTACTTGTGAGGTAACTTACTAACACATTCATGGAAACTTCAGGTACGACCATGATGGTTATGTATAAACACAGATACATAAATCTAAGCCAGTGTCATCCATGGCTAAAGCAGCTTTGAAACAAACAGTACTAAAGAACAACTTGTGAAGATGGATAAAATAAATTGTATTTTAATATAATTAAAAAGTTAAATATATATATATATATATTTTTTTCTCTATGTAGTGAGTTTATGACTGTTCAGACTCAGACGGTGTTGAGTGCCATCCTGTTTGCCACAGGCCTGTGGTTATCATTCATCTTCCTGTTGCGGTACATCCTGAAAGCTCTCCTGTCCTATCACAGCTGGATCTTTGAGTCACATGGCAAAATGAGCTTCTCTACTAAAGTCTGGCTGGTGCGTCTCCCATGAAATTAAATATATGTATAGTGCAGTTTAAAAAGTGGCTACATTTATGAATTATTCTGTCTGTTTTAGAGTCTTGTAAAGCTGTTGTCTGGTCGGCGACCGTTGCTCTACAGCTTTCAAGCATCTCTGCCCCATCTGCCGGTACCGAGCATTGATGACACAATCAGGAGGGTAAAATATCATTCTATATATATATATATATATTTTTTTTTTTTTTTTTTTTGCCATGTGGGTTTGAAATGTCATTCTCATTGCCATACAAAAGTATTATTTAAAATGTTGGTATTTATACAACTTAATTGTAAAGTAATATTTGTCATGCTGCTTTTAATTTACGCTGGTTAAAAAAAAAAAAAAAGTGTAATTGTGTCTGGTAAAAAATTGTAATGTTAAAAAAATGTATTACAATCAGCATAAATTAAAAGCAGTAAACATTATTTTTCTTATCATTTTGGGTTGGAGTATTACACTGTTTTTGGCTGTTTTCCTTTATGTTATTTCTTCTTTTTATTGTTTTAGTATCTTGAATCTGTTCGACCTCTTCTGGATGATGAGCAATATAAACAGATGGAGATTGTTGCTAATGACTTTAAAAAGGATCCTGCACCCAAATTCCAAAAACACCTCAAACTCAAATCCTGGTGGGCCACAAATTATGTAAGCAAACAAAGCCAGAGAACTTCCACATGAGTGGACTATAAACCAGTGGAAATCCTCTTATAATTACTGGCAAACTAACAGGTATGTCATTGCGTGTGTTAACAGGTGAGTGATTGGTGGGAGGAGTATATCTACCTGAGAGGACGGGACCCCATCATGGTCAACAGCAACTTCTACACCATGGTGAGCAGACATCTTCATGTAGCATATCTCTTACAGTGTAACAACAAGTCTTTAATCAGACCTATCAGGCATCGATAATGTTGCCCATGAAATAAAAAAATATTTTATTTTTAAAAGTCAGTTATGTTTTATTTAAATCAAGGCTGTGAAGCACAGACACATGTGGTTTTGGGGTTAGATTGGCATTTAACATTTTTATTATTTTATAAGAGAAAAATACTGTACATTTTGAATCATTATAAGTTTGCTAAAAGTTCATTTTGTCAATTTTAAGTAGTACACTAGAATAAAATGAAATAAAAGCCAACAAAGACTAACTATGGAAAAAAGCAGTTGACCTTCATAAACATTTAAGTGTTTTTTTTTTTTATAGCTATTGCTTTTTAATATCCTTATTTATTAAAACTGTCTGTTTCCATTACTCTCTTTCCATCTGCCAGGATTTGCTCTATGTGATCCCTACACACAGACAGGCTGCACGAGCAGGAAATGTAGTTCATGCCATGCTGCAGTATCGGCGTAAGCTGGAGCGAGGAGAACTCACCCCGGTACTGACATGTAAACACAAAATAGTTTTGTCCATCCACAACAATGAATTGCCATGCAAAATATAAATACAGGAAAGTTTCCCATCATGCCCTCTGTTCTCTCTTGTCAGCTGAGCGCTCTTGGGATTGTCCCCATGTGCTCTTTTCAGTATGAGAGGATGTTCAACACCACCCGTATTCCTGGCATTGAGACTGGTAATGACATTTTTCATATATTTTCAGCTACACATACTACTTACCAGTAGGCCTACAGATTCATAGATGCTTATTTTAAACCATGACATGATGGTTTCTCACACTGATTTGTTCATGCTCAGATTTTGTGCAGCATCTGAAGGACAGGAAGCACTTAGTTGTGTACCATCGAGGCCGTTTCTTTAAGGTGTGGCTATACTATGGTGGTCGCCACCTTTGGCCCTCAGAGCTTGAGTTGCAGTTTCAGCGTATCCTGGATGACAAGTCTGAACCTCAACCAGGAGAGATCAAGCTGCCTTCACTGACTGCCGGGAACAGGTGAAGATGACCTCGCAATAGTCCTGCGACTGTGTACTAGACCAGAGGTTTTCAAAATGAGGTCCAGGAGGCTTCAAGAGAGTGTTCAAACAGTGAAAGTTCAAACTTTCTTCTGTGGAACCCATAAGAAGATATTTTGAAGAATGTTGGAAACCAAACCATTTTAATTCCCATTGACTTCCACTGTATGGACAAAAAAAAAAATGCAACGGAAGTCAATGGGAACTGAAACCGTTTGTTTACTAAAATTCTTCAAAATATCTTGTTTTATGTTCTACAAAAGAAAGTAGTACATGTTTGGAACAAACCGAGGGTGAATAAATGCTGAATGAAATCTTCCCCTTTAACACATAATATCCAGGGTTCCCTGGGCCAGGGCCCGTTTAAAGTACTTCACTGAGGGCGTCAACCAGGCGTCTCTGGAGGCCATTGAAACAGCTGCATTTTTTCTGACCCTGGACGATGAAGCACATGGATACGATTCAGAGAACACACGGTCCCTAGACCTCTATGCCAAATCACTACTGCATGGAAAGTGCTATGACAGGTAGAAATCAGTGTTATTTCAGTATTATTTTCATAGTATGTATTAATATTTTATAAATAGAATTGAATTTGCTTTCATTTTTATGTTTTCCGTTTTTATTTTTAATTTAAGTTAAAGTTTTAGTCATTTTCTAATGTACTTTATTTGTATTAGTTTTTGTAATTTTTTATATTTAGCTTTATTTTCTATGAGATTTAGTAATGTAAGCACTTTAGTACTAGGTTTTTTTTTCATCTAATATTTATTTTATTTTAGCTTTATTTCATGAAATTTCACAAAAATGTTTTCAATATAGTATAGCTTACACTTTTGTTAATGACAACAACGCTGCAAGTAACACTTTTAAGTCTCATTAACTGATCATTATTTTTGGTGAGCATGACCAGTTGCACATCTACACACTGAAACATCTTCTCTCACCTGTCAGGTGGTTTGATAAATCCTTCACTTTGATTGTCTACAAGAATGGTAAAATTGGTGTCAACACTGAGCATTCATGGGCTGACTCCCCTATCATAGGACATATGTGGGAGGTAAACAATCAATAATAATAACTGCAAATACCTTTATTTAAAATTACACTGTTGGGCTGTAAGAATTAACATGCATTTTAACTTTCTGTTTAGTATGTTTTAGCCACAGACTGTTTCCACCTAGGATATACTGCGGAGGGACATTGCAAAGGAGATATCAACAAAAGCCTGGCAACCCCTACCAGACTACAGTGGGACATCCCAAAAGCGGTATTAATTAACCCTAACGTCCTACATCTAATTTGACATGGCTTTACATTAAAAAAATTGAACTAATTCGAATGGGTTTTATGTTCTGGCATACATCCTAATAACTGTAAGATCATTTCTACACTGATAATTGATTAAGGTTCTTTATGTCTTTCTCAGTGCCAGGAGATAATTGAAGGTTCTTACATGATTGCAAAGGGAATTGCCAATGATGTGGATTTCCATGGCTGCTTGTTTAACGAGTTTGGGAAGGGCCTGATAAAGAAATGCAGAACAAGTCCGGATGCTTTTATCCAGCTGGCACTGCAGCTAGCTCATTACAGGGTACAAGCCACACATATTTACATATAATCCCTCTGCAAAAATGTGTCTGTATATTGTGAACAAACCGTTTAATGAAGGATGTTTGTTGGAGTAGGACAAGGGTGAATTTTGTCTGACTTATGAATCATCCATGACGCGCATGTTCCGCGAGGGCCGGACAGAAACCGTGCGCTCATGCACCTGTGAGTCCACGGCGTTTGTAAGAGCAATGGAGGACGAGAGCACCACGGTGAGAGCAATATATTTACAGACCCAACCCAGAGGTCAGCATTATTTTAAAAGTTAAAAATATACATATTTTGGTAACTAAAAACTTGTTTTTGCATAATGCTGCATCCACATTAAAATATTTCAGCATTTTTCAAGAGCACGGTTTAAAAATCCAGTGCAATATCAGCACTTAAGCAATGGTATATGTTTTGATTTGAAAATCTGTATTCATTTGAACCTTTTTGAAATTTAAATTGACCTGTCTGACTTTTTCTTGTTTACCAGAATGAGCAACGGTTGGCGCTCTTCAAAAAAGCTGCAGATAAACACCAGAACATGTACCGCCTGGCCATGACAGGAGCTGGGATTGATCGCCATCTCTTCTGCCTCTACATTGTGTCCAAAGTAATGGGCATTGACTCACCCTTCCTCAAACAGGTCTGTAGAAGTCTGTTCACGAGTGTAAAATATGACATACCTGTTTAGTTTTGCTTAAGTCAAGGACACCTTCTTTTGATAGGTTTTGTCAGAGCCCTGGCGCCTCTCCACCAGTCAGACCCCTCAACAGCAGCTCAATCTCATCGACATTCAGAAGTTTCCCAAATATGTGGGAGCTGGAGGCGGCTTTGGGCCTGTGAGTTTCCCTCACACCTCCTACAGTACACAACGTGTCATTGCAACAAGTTTAGTGAATGAATTAACCTGACATTTGATCATTTTTCATTTAAAGGGCTTATATGATGTTGCTAAAAAGAACATTATTTGGTGTATTGAAATGTGTTTATGCGGTTTAAAAGTTCAAAAAACACATTATTTTCCACATACTGTACATTATTGTTTCTCCTCTATGCCCTGCCTTTTTGAAACGTGTCGATTTTTACAAAGCTCATCGGTCTGAAAAGCGAGGTGTGCTGTGATTGGCCAGCAATCCAGTGCGTTGTGATTGGCTGAATACCTCAATCGTGAGACGGAAATGTTACATCCCTCATATACTGTTGATGCCGTGTCCGGCCGGAGCGACGAGACAAAAACATTAAAACCCATTACAAACGAGGCATTCGTTGCATCCAGTGGGGACATAATTACTGATTATAATGACTTATACTGTCTTTTTACGCGTTGCGTTGCATTGCACAACAAGCCCTACTCTACACTGCTCAAAACTCACGTTTGAATCATCAGTGGCAAATCCTTTAAATGAAAACGAACTTACATGAGTCAGAACAGCCGGCATTTTAATCAAACATTACTCTACCAGGATCAGTAAACAGTCCTCCATAAAATGTGCTGGACACATCTGAATATTTGGTTTGAACTGTTCTGGAACAGTGTTGTAAATACAACTTAACCACTGATTTCTAGTCGTGTCCTCTTTTGGAAGACCAAAGTAGTTTCGCTTTCACAATGAAAAACACAGCGGCCTAGCGTGAGGGGAAGCCCCGGCTTAGCGTGCACTGAGGCCGGGATAGAGTGAGCTGAGGCCGGGATAGAGTGAGCTAAGGCGGCAGGGTCGAGAACAGCGTGCCCGGCGAATGCGACAAATGAGCGGCAACCACATGTGACGACCCCGGGCTGGACTCCGCTTTGTCCACGGTGAAAGTTGATGTATTCCCTCAGCGACCAGCACGGATCAGCTCCAGGCATGGCGAAACGGATATCGTCCTCTTTTGGAAGACCAAACAAAGTAGTTTCGCTTTCACAACGAAGCACACAGCGCCTTCACGGCGGCTGCAGCGTCAACAAAACTACAGTGAGACAAAGTTAAGCCTTCTTTCTTTGCGTGAACATTTGGGCGGCGTTATGCAAATCTTCCCACATAGTGAGGTAGATATGTGGGGGCGTGTTAGAACGAGCCGTTTTAGGTAGGTGTGGCTGACTCTTAACTTTTATAAAGAATATCTCTTTGGATTTGAGACTTTAGTCTTTGCAACTTTACAGATCTTCTTTATGCACCAAGAGCTTGTAACACTCCAAAGAGAAAGGAAAAATTGAAATTGCATCATATGACCCCTTTAAAACTTTTTATATGCAGGTTGCTGATGACGGTTATGGTGTTTCTTACATCATTGTCGGCGAGAATCTCATTACATTCCACATTTCCAGCAAATTCTCCAGCCCCGAGACGGTAAGAGAATTTTAAACTTTGGCTTTTTTCTTAAGTGACACTTGTGTATATATGATCCTGACAAATAAATTAAGGACATACATTTTTTCAGATATAGACCCTTGTTATGTTCACACCAAGAACAATAATTAATAGCATCCAAACCAACGGACGATAAATTTCTGTTTACGTAAGCAGCGCGCGCACAGCGTTTTAAAACTTTGGTTGTCGTTATAGTTACCGTTCGGTTTTAGCATTCGATTTATCATTTGAGATTTTTTTAAACACTTAAGTATTATTTCTTTTAATTTGTTATTGTAATATATTTATATATTGAATTAATCACTTTATTTTTGTTATATTTAATGCTTCATCAATTTTGTTTGCATTTAATATTTAATTCATCATTACAGTTTTATTATTTGGTCATTTGAGGGTTTTAATTTTATGAAAAATAAATAAAATCACTTTTATAGTTCTTGGTGCAAACAAGCCTTTCTAACGTAATAACACAAAGTTCAGATGCTGATCAAACGGGAAAAATAACGATCGAGTTTATCCAAAAGTTCATACAAAATAAGTAAAAATGAAAAATTCTGTCATCGCGTATTCAATCTCAAATATTTCAAAGCTCATGACTTCCATGAAACAAAATTGTTAAAGAAAATTCTGGATTAAATTTTAATCCAGTTATTATTATGAATACATATGCTGATTTAGTATCACTATAGCACACTTATCTTAGACTGTCTTTTCCTCTCTGTCCTCAGGACTCGTTCCGTTTTGGGCAGAACATCAGACAGGCCATGCTGGACATAAAAGCTCTATTCAACCTGAAAGAGAAGAAGATGTGACTCCAAAAAACAGAAAGCTTCAATTTCAAAGCTGACCCAAACTGAAAGCACCAGTTTAAGGATAATAATCTGAACAAGCACCACATATAGCAACCAGTAGGTTATGTTAGTATTAAATAAACATGTATATAATATATTGTAGTTATTTATAGCAAAAAACATATTTTAGAGCAAAAGGGATCTATGCTGGGGAAAAGAAAGTGTAAAAACAAATACTGTATTTAATTGTAAATATTTTAGCATGTAGTCTTTGGCAAATGACTGTAAATTGTGCATATTTACTTCTAAAATGTTGAATTTACTCTGCACTTAATTAAACCGAGAAACTGTACACACAAATCTGGATCTTAACAATCACACACACACATTTTTCAAGAATTAAAAAAAAAGAACTGATTTATTGATATTACAGTTTTTACTGTATTTTTGATTAAATAAATGCAGCCTTGCTGAAGCATAAAAGACTTCTAAAAAATATATTACCAACACCAAACTTTTGAATGGCACTGTATATAATTACAACTTTTGTTCTACAATAATTTAAATATTTTATTTTTGTTTTATTCATATGTAAAATGCCTGTTTTTTATTCAATTAGAAATCAAATATTATTTGATTATTGTTCATTTATTATTATTTCCTTATACAGTTTTCATCATGTATAAAATGTCAAAAAAACTCATTTAAAATAAATTTTAAAAAAAACGTTTTTTTCACTTTCATTTTTAAAATTGGTGTTATTTTTATTTTTTATGGGTTTTTTTCCACATATAAATTGCATGTTTTTTTTATTCAGTTAAATTAAATTATAGTTTATTATTTTAAATGTATCATTATTTCATTATAGTTTTTATCATGTATAAAATGTGGAAAATTCATTTAAAATAAAAACAATTTTAAAGAACATTTTCCTTTTTTCGATATAATTTTTTTTAATTCGTTTTTTTAATTGTTTATTATTTTTGTTTATCATAGATAAAATGCATAAGATTTTTATTAAACTACAATTTTAATTATATGAGTATTTTTCATCTGTTATTATTTCATTATAAAGTTTTCATCATGATGTATAAAATTCATTAAATAAATAAATAAGTAGCATTTTTAACAAAGGTGCACCACATGTCTGATCTTATACCTGAGGTCTCCGGGCAGGTGCCGTGCATAAGGCCAAACATGTTGCCGCAAGCTTTGCTGACAGCGGCCATCTTGGCGAGAACCGGCAAGTTGTGAATGACGAAGGACACCTCTGTGCGCTGCTGGCGGGCCAGATTCTGAGCGTGACCCAGGATCCCAAACCCTGTTATGTCAGTTGCTGCGTGTGCATTGAAGGTGTGCATCAGCCCGGCCGCTGGACAGAGACACATATAAAGGTCAAACGCCTGCTGGAATCTGGTATTTACGAGCCGCACACACATGTCACATACTGACCGGTTCTGTTGAGTCGAGCCATGTTCAGCATGGCCTCCTGATAAGCCAGTTCAACATCCTCCTGAGAGACGACCAACTTTATCTTATTCCATTTCTCTGGCTGAGACCGAAAGAAAGATGGTAAGCAGTTAGACCCTGTCCAAGCTATAATATGAAACTACAAATGTCTAAAACACTCACAATGTCCAGCCACTGGTGCACTGCGACCGCCACTTGTGTTCCTAGAGGTTTGGTGAGAACCAGCACGTCCCCTGGTACTGCATTATCTGGCCTTTAAAAACACATGCACAAAATTAGAGGAATGGACTGACATTTTAATTAAGCATGTGTTAACAACAGGCAAGAGTGCATCAAATTACTTACATAATGAACTCATTAGGTTGGCACACTGTTGTGGCCACGCCTCCCAGGACTATCCAAGGATTTATAACAGTCTGACCTCCTGTAACGGAGGTTCCCGCCTCCTCGGATGCATCCTTAAACCCCTGGATGATCAGAGGCATGACCTTATCACGCTCCTACAAAACACACACAAGTAATGTGATTTCTGTTTTGGATACCTATATCATCACCTTCTGAAAATACCACATTTTTAACCATGTAAAGCCTGGTATATCAGTATAACACAAATAGATATTTTTCTTTTTCATTAAATAGTACAGTTTATTATATAGTATGATATACAGTAGTAAGAACATGGAGCTTATTCTTGAGGGGGAAAACAGCTCAATTTTATTCAAAGGCCTAAAGTGAGCAGAAATATGCAATTTGGAGCAGTTGCTGCATTTATATGGCCGAAAAGAAAGATGAAATTCTGATAACTTGTGAAGTAAACCAATGAGATCTTTATTACAGTATTGCAGACTACGTCCAAAAAATGCATATAAATATCAGTTCCCACTCTATATTATATTGGAGTGCTTCGTTTTACAATTAAAGCTCTGTAGTTTTTATTGCAAGGGGGAAAATATCTGGCATGATGCAATGCAATACAATGATGATTGAGAGATGGAAAAATAAACGTTCTTCAAAAGCCTGATGGATCATATTGGATACTAAAGGCTTTTTCCTCTGTCTCACCTTCTCTGTGAGTTTGTTGCTGACACCAAGAAGCATCAGCATGTTATCACACTCCGTTACCCCCATGGCATACAGGTCACTCAGCACATTGGCACAAGCAATTCTCCCCTAGAAACCAAGAGAATTCATAGAAGAAGAAAAAAAACATCAGATTGTGACAAATTTTCAGTTTATGCATTTGATCTTTTATGATATTCTAAAGTGAGTATTTACCATCATATATGGGTCGTCCACTATGGGGTAGATATAGTCTGTGGTCTGCACAAGTGACAAGCCTCCATGTCTCAACGGAATCACACAGGTGTCCATACCAACACCTGTTTTACATAAACATTGTTATTTCAAATCATTTTAGTGTTTTGTCTGAAGTGTTGAAGCTTAAAGGGGTCATATGATGCGATTTCAAGTTTTCCTTTCTCTTTGGAGTGTTACAAGCTGATTGTGCATAGATAAGATCCCTGAAGTTGCGTCCCTGAATGTATATAATATATTGTAGTTATTTATAGCAAAAAACATATTTTAGAGCAAAAGGGATCTATGCTGGGGAAAAGAAAGTGTAAAAACAAATACTGTATTTAATTGTAAATATTTTAGCATGTAGTCTTTGGCAAATGACTGTAAATTGTGCATATTTACTTCTAAAATGTTGAATTTACTCTGCACTTAATTAAACCGAGAAACTGTACACACAAATCTGGATCTTAACAATCACACACACACATTTTTCAAGAATTAAAAAAAAAGAACTGATTTATTGGTGGGGTTTCAATGCATATATATATATATATATAATGATTAGCAAATATGAGAGCACGAGAAAGTATGACCTTTGTACAGGATATAAAAACAGCTCTACCACAGAACAGAACTAATGATGTTCATGTGAAACAGTGAATATCACACAATATGAACTGCATCTCCAATGTTTAGCACATTCTTTGAGAAACTTCAGCACCTCCATTAAAGTCAGGAGTGCATTTCCCAAAATACGAGGACTTGATTTATTAGAGAGGTATTACCTTGGATTCCTTCAGTCTAACGTTTCCACCGAACAGAGATGGAGGATTATTTAATCCGACAAACGAGGGATAATACAAAAGTAAAAAAGCAATCTTTTCCCGACTCTTCCTCGTCACTGCAGCTTCGTTAACTAATGTTTCGAGGCAAAGATTACGATGTGAACTACCACATGGGCTGTGCGTACTAAGAGGAAAGGCTAAAACACACCATGGCTAAGTATGAAACCGCAGGTGATGTGTGAGCAGAAGAAATTTGGAAGTAATCAACAGTATCAGGTAAGTATTATACTATTAATTATTCGTTCTACTTGGAAGCTGCCTCACAACCAGGTGCATGTTCGGTTAATGAAACAGAAAACTCTAGACATAAAAAGGCAATTGAATTTTCTTTGTGAAATGTTCTTCTGCTTTATAACCGTGTCCATGTAGAGGAATCTGCCCCGAAGGCCAAGGTGGGCAGACGTTTTATATATCATTACTTTGATATATTTTCAGCTGAAGCTAGAGTACACTAGCCATTCGGGCCGCTCAGGGGTCACGGGGTCAGGTCTAAGACGTGGCTCCCGGGGTGGTGTTGACATTCTGTGTGCCCACTTGCGGTGCGACTTCGATGATACGGGGTTTGTCGATGATGCGTGCCGTACGGTTGCCTTTCTCTACGATGCCGATGATCCAGGCCTGGTGACCCTCGCCGTACTTGGGAGATTTGATCTCGGCGCAAAAACGGGCCGCTTGCTCACGTGGAAGACAGATCAGCAAACCTCCTACAGAAAAATATAAGAGACATTTGTTTAGATTCAGACTGATGTTTTCTGCAAAGATAAAGTGAATGTGTAATAACAGCTTATTAAGAACACTTTAACACAGGGATAAAATGCATGTACAGTGGGATCCAAATGTCTTGAGACCACATTGAAAACATTTCTCCCTATTTGAACTTGAACATAATAAAAACAGAAAGCCATAGCATGAAGAAAAAAAAACACATTAAAATAAAATTAAAGAATAAAGAATCTGTTTTCAACATTGATGATGATATTAATAAGACATGTTTCTTTATCAGCAAATCAGCATATTAGAATGATTTCTAAAGGAACTGCGGAGTTTTGCGCATCGTGTGTGTGTGTGTGTGCGCGCGAGAGAGAGAGCGCGAGAGTGAGAGAGAGAGAGAGAGAGAGAGAGAGAGAGCGTCACATCACAGTGGAGTCAGCTAAATACACAAAATAATGATCTTTAAAAAAGCATCATATGACCCCTTTAAAGGTCCGTTTTCTTTTCCACAAATTAAAGTCATAAAGGTTTAGAAATTACATGAAGGTCTAAATAAAGAGTAATTAACAATAGATTTTTCTCAATTTGGTGATCTGTTCCTTTAAGTAATTGTTTGTTTTTTTTTCCTCTGGGCAGACTAATGAAAGAGCGTTTAAAAAAATCTTAAAAACCTTAATTTCCAGTTGTGAGTGTGTGTATAGTTATGTACCTAGTCTGGGCATTACAGCCCCAAGGAACTGCTCATCTTCCTGATAATGGTTTTCCTGCAGGGATTCTAGAAGTTTCTGGAGCACATCTTGAGGGACTTTGCAGCCCGTTCCCTTGAGCTCTGTGAAGCGTGTTAGTCTGAAGTTCTTGTCGAGTTCATAACTCTCCGGGTTAAAAGATTCCCGCACCGACATGTTTAAAAGAGTCAGCCAACACACCACCTTCACACTATGGTAAAGTCAATCTGAAGAAGAAATAAACACATTAAAGTGTGTAAAGGGATGCAAGATGAGGACATTAAGTGTGACCATGCAAACAACATGCAACAGGTCATAATAATAAATATAGCATGAATATTCTACTGTTTCACCCCAAACATGAATCAAAATAATGCATGTTTTGTACTAATGTCTTTGCAAAGATGCTCAGAGGTGATCCTCCCCTTTAAATACATCAGCTCTGTTCAAAGCACTTGCTGAGCTGAATTCACTGTCCAGCCTGCATTGTTCACATGGCATATTATCATATTATATCATTACTGCATACAGAACAAAGCACTCAAGCATACGTATATAACGCATTCTGTTTTTTATGTGCTGTGATAATTCATGTGTTCTTTCAAAAATAGATAAAGTAATTCATTTCTATGAGCAAATATGTGGGTTTCGGGTTCTTGGAATTCTATAGTTCGAACTGCACTGATGTGGCGCGCGCTCTCTGTCCAAGATAGAATCTCTTTTAGTGAATCGGTTCGTTTGAAGAGTTCGCGACTCGTTTTTTTTAGCCATAATTCAAGAGTTCCCAAAGGTCTCCGCGCAACTGTTTTTATTGAGCACAACAAATATTACATGTATAATGGCGATTCAGACACTTAACTAATACAGTAGACAGCAAAAATATGCATTTAGAACATCAGTACACAATTCTAATATAACGCGTTTGTTGAATTGTTTCTCTTTTATTCATTTTTGGTATGCAAGACTAGATAAAGTGAATGTGTAATAACAGCTTATTAAGAACACTTTAACACAGGGATAAAATGCATGTACAGTGGGATCCAAATGTCTTGAGACCACATTGAAAACATTTCTCCCTATTTGAACTTGAACATAATAAAAACAGAAAGCCATAGCATGAAGAAAAAAAAACACATTAAAATAAAATTAAAGAATAAAGAATCTGTTTTCAACATTGATGATGATATTAATAAGACATGTTTCTTTATCAGCAAATCAGCATATTAGAATGATTTCTAAAGGAACTTGTGACACTGAAGACTGGAGTAATGATACTAAAAATTCAGCTTTGCATCACAGAAATAAATGTAATTTTAAAAGATATTTGAATAGAAAACATCTATTCTAAATTGCAATCATATTTCACAATATTACAGTTTTTACTGTATTTTTGATTAAATAAATGCAGCCTTGCTGAAGCATAAAAGACTTCTAAAAAATATATTACCAACACCAAACTTTTGAATGGCACTGTATATAATTACAACTTTTGTTCTACAATAATTTAAATATTTTATTTTTGTTTTATTCATATGTAAAATGCCTGTTTTTTATTCAATTAGAAATCAAATATTATTTGATTATTGTTCATTTATTATTATTTCCTTATACAGTTTTCATCATGTATAAAATGTCAAAAAAACTCATTTAAAATAAATTTTAAAAAAAACGTTTTTTTCACTTTCATTTTTAAAATTGGTGTTATTTTTATTTTTTATGGGTTTTTTTCCACATATAAATTGCATGTTTTTTTTATTCAGTTAAATTAAATTATAGTTTATTATTTTAAATGTATCATTATTTCATTATAGTTTTTATCATGTATAAAATGTGGAAAATTCATTTAAAATAAAAACAATTTTAAAGAACATTTTCCTTTTTTCGATATAATTTTTTTTAATTCGTTTTTTTAATTGTTTATTATTTTTGTTTATCATAGATAAAATGCATAAGATTTTTATTAAACTACAATTTTAATTATATGAGTATTTTTCATCTGTTATTATTTCATTATAAAGTTTTCATCATGATGTATAAAATTCATTAAATAAATAAATAAGTAGCATTTTTAACAAAGGTGCACCACATGTCTGATCTTATACCTGAGGTCTCCGGGCAGGTGCCGTGCATAAGGCCAAACATGTTGCCGCAAGCTTTGCTGACAGCGGCCATCTTGGCGAGAACCGGCAAGTTGTGAATGACGAAGGACACCTCTGTGCGCTGCTGGCGGGCCAGATTCTGAGCGTGACCCAGGATCCCAAACCCTGTTATGTCAGTTGCTGCGTGTGCATTGAAGGTGTGCATCAGCCCGGCCGCTGGACAGAGACACATATAAAGGTCAAACGCCTGCTGGAATCTGGTATTTACGAGCCGCACACACATGTCACATACTGACCGGTTCTGTTGAGTCGAGCCATGTTCAGCATGGCCTCCTGATAAGCCAGTTCAACATCCTCCTGAGAGACGACCAACTTTATCTTATTCCATTTCTCTGGCTGAGACCGAAAGAAAGATGGTAAGCAGTTAGACCCTGTCCAAGCTATAATATGAAACTACAAATGTCTAAAACACTCACAATGTCCAGCCACTGGTGCACTGCGACCGCCACTTGTGTTCCTAGAGGTTTGGTGAGAACCAGCACGTCCCCTGGTACTGCATTATCTGGCCTTTAAAAACACATGCACAAAATTAGAGGAATGGACTGACATTTTAATTAAGCATGTGTTAACAACAGGCAAGAGTGCATCAAATTACTTACATAATGAACTCATTAGGTTGGCACACTGTTGTGGCCACGCCTCCCAGGACTATCCAAGGATTTATAACAGTCTGACCTCCTGTAACGGAGGTTCCCGCCTCCTCGGATGCATCCTTAAACCCCTGGATGATCAGAGGCATGACCTTATCACGCTCCTACAAAACACACACAAGTAATGTGATTTCTGTTTTGGATACCTATATCATCACCTTCTGAAAATACCACATTTTTAACCATGTAAAGCCTGGTATATCAGTATAACACAAATAGATATTTTTCTTTTTCATTAAATAGTACAGTTTATTATATAGTATGATATACAGTAGTAAGAACATGGAGCTTATTCTTGAGGGGGAAAACAGCTCAATTTTATTCAAAGGCCTAAAGTGAGCAGAAATATGCAATTTGGAGCAGTTGCTGCATTTATATGGCCGAAAAGAAAGATGAAATTCTGATAACTTGTGAAGTAAACCAATGAGATCTTTATTACAGTATTGCAGACTACGTCCAAAAAATAAATAATGATCTTTAAAAAAGCATCATATGACCCCTTTAAAGGTCCGTTTTCTTTCCACAAATTAAAGTCATAAAGGTTTAGAAATTACATGAAGGTCTAAATAAAGAGTAATTAACAATAGATTTTTCTCAATTTGGTGATCTGTTCCTTTAAGTAATTGTTTGACACAATTCTAATATAACGCGTTTGTTGAATTGTTTCTCTTTTATTCATTTTTGGTATGCAAGACTACCAACACACGCGAGAAAAAAAAGGTCTTGACTTTACAGAGTTGCATTTATGAATGCAAAGATAAAAAAAACAAATCAACAATAACACACATCACGTACAGTTGAGTCAAGCGCTTGTTTGAACGAGTCGCTAAAAAGAATCATCAAATGAACGATTCCCTCAAGATTCACTAAAACCGCTGCACGCGCCGATCCAACGCAACGCCTCCCGCTGCTCGATTACATTTAATCGCTTCTAATATACAATATAGTTCACGCATGCTAAGAAGAAAACGTTTATACAGTCAAATGAATCAAATAATAAGAGAAGCAAGCCGGCCGAGGTGTTTATAAAAATGTCGGCGGTGGAAAAAATTAACCCTTAAAGCGCCCGCGCCATGATTGCAGTGTGCACAACTGAGAAATAATATACAATTTAAATTATTTGGTGCACTTTACACAAATTCCGCAGATTATGTCTTCTACTGGAATAATTAAGATAGCTCTCCTCACAAGTAATGCATTGTGGCACAGTTATATTCGTGCCCCATTTCCCCTTTAATTGTGTTGTTCAGTTTGCGCTTACCGGTTTTGCTCGATACAAGAGACGCGACGATCCCGCAATGCACCGCGCGCTGAAGGGGCGCCTGGAAAATGTGCCTGAATAGATTGACACTGAATTCAATACCCTTTTTATTGACGAACAGCACCATATTCACGATGCGTACGAGATTATATTAACAACTCCGGCGGCGATATGTCCCTTCCGAAGACCGATGCGAGCTAATAAGTGTTTCTGAGGAGATATTTGAATTAAAAAGTCGAAATTCTGCATGGGTCCTTCTTTCCCGCGTGACGTCTTCGCCTCCCCTTTAAATGCGATCGGAGTGTGGCAACAAAAAATGTCCACATTAGTTTGTACCTTTAAACTTACTGTGGTCTTGCCAGTTTTGTAAAGATTTACATTCTTTTTTATTTGCTTGATTGGCATATTATTTTTGGTTACTATATAAATGATCAATTTAGTGATGATGAATGTTTTATGGTACATTTAATTATGTTTGTTTGTAAATTATACATGCAAATATACAATTTTTTATGACAGAAATTAAACAACGTAGATACAAATACAAAATCTTTTAACAAAGAAGCAATCAAAACCTATCCCTTACTCTTTTTCTGTTCAAGTATTTCGTGTCTTTTAAGTGTATTAATAAATAAATACATTTATTTATCAGTGTGAGGTTAAAAAAGCAGAAAACTTAATTTAGTGATTTTTTATTTTTAATATAGACACTTTACTGTAAGTGTAAATTATGTTAGTTTATGCAAAAATCAAAAACGTTCATGAAAAAGTTTATGAAAGAAAGAAAGCATTTGAAATGAGTTTCGGTCAACCATGTAAGACACAGCCATATTTATTTGACGTCTCAGACCAAACAACTTTCCACTAATAAACATCAAGTTGAGCTTTTTTAAAACAGGAATATTAAAACGGAGGCCCAGACACAATAATCTGTGCTCTTAAAGGAATGGTCAAGCTCTAGCAGCAGCATCAGTGGCATTCATTCGGACTCATATCTCGGTTCATAAAAGCAAACATCAGTTTGAGTTTCAGTTATGCACTTACAGTGGAAGTCTATGGGGCAGGTGTACAATATAAGTGCATTTCCGTATTCCATTTTTAGGATTGCTTTTACAAACTGAGACACCAATCAAGCCCCAGATGCTGTCCAAACAGCTTAACTTGTTTTTAACCCAAATATTAACATGAATAGTTATTCAAGCATTTGACCATGAGGTAAAAACCCTTTGTTACACAGATGCAGGACAATGTTCATATTCACTCATTTGTACACATTCAATAGACACTAAATCCTCTTATACAGGAAGTCAAACAGTTACATGTCTACATAACCAGTCTGCCAGATTATATAACCAACAACACATTAGTAAGACTATGTGCAGCGAACATGACATTAAAGGTACAACATGTACGTTTTTTTTATTAAAATATCCAAAAACCACTAGAACAGTGTTATATATTTTGCTGACTTGTGTACTTGCATTATCCCAAATGTTTCGAAGAATGTTTAAATCCAGAGAAATAAGCAATTTTAACTAGTCTCACGGACCGTGTCCATAGTGTCACCTGCCAATGACGTCATAACCCCTCGATTTCCGGTTTGGTTTTGTAGAAAACATGGAAACACCAAAGATGCTTTAATATGTTGTGCATTTTAATAGACCGGTGACGACCACACAGAGTAGCATTATAACAGAACTCAAATGTATCTAGTATGATAAAACAGCGCTGCTTTACCCCACATACGCACGACCGGAAGCAGCGGAAGCGGTCGACTGTGGCATAATAAAAGCTCCGCTGCTTTCGAGCCGTGTGTCACGTTCGTTCAGCGGCCTCGTTTCGCTTCGACGGCTTTCAGCCTCGCCCTGCTTCATTCCACTACGTTAATAAATCATTAGCTCATCCATGAACACGATTTCTGCCCGAGTCCCATCGGATTGCATCGGCTGTGGGGATGAAGACAACAACTCCCATGATTCCACACTCAGTCACTGCGTCATCTAACTATGCCTTTGACAATTTGTTTATTTTGAATACTTGCCCTCTAGCGGCGAAAATTACATAGTGTGCCTTTAAGTACTATTAATATAGAAAATGCCACATATTTCGCCAGAAAGTGTCAATAAACAGCACAGTTGTGAAATGACATCAGTTTGTTGCTTGGCATGGCAGAGTGAATTAAAGGCACAGTCATGTTTTCTCAGCAGTTCTGCTGATATTTGTTGGTGAAGCATTTGAATGAAGCTGAAAAACTACAAACACTTCCATATATTCACAGAAGACAACTAGTGACATCTGGGGCAACCCACTTTAAAATGATCAAATGAGAGTACTTTTGTTATAAAAGTGTGTCTAGTGGTTGGGAGCGCCAACTGATCAGCAAAATGTTGCCATTTTCTCTCTCCATAGAGTCTCTCCATACATGCTAGACGGACAAAACTATTAAAATGACTCCTTTGCAGGGGTCGGAGGTTGCGTTTTGGTGAAAACAATCTCTTCTCAGGCAGTGTCCATAGCAACTAGACATTCTGTTCTCTCATAAGCAGCACCTGCGGTACAGAAGAAAGGGTTACTTAAGAACAGCGCTGCTTTTTAAGAGTGTAATATTAAAGACTGCAGTACCATTTAGTGTCAGATTTTCCACTTTATCAACAGTCTGCTGACATTTCTCTGAAAAATAACATACAGAAATACTAGTGGGAATAATATTCCAATGGAATTTTGTCCTCTGAAGTTATTTAGCATATTATTTAGAGTATCTTCAATACATGGACATCAAATATCATTCATCATGAGGTGAAGGACACTCATCAATCTGAAGCGCATTCATTCATGCTGTGTGTGGGTTTGGGTCAATGTGTCTGAATACCTGTTTTGTGCTGAATATCACTACTGTCTGAGGTTGTCTCTGCTGCAAATCATTAAAAATAAATCAAATAAATTATGACGTTTAGGCATTTGTTAAATTGACATTTAAATGATCAATGAATTGTTTTAATAGCACTCATCTAGCAAACCATCAATCATGAAGCAACAGCTTTGTTACAACTTCGAATCCTTGGTAATGTATGACACCGCTATGTCTCTTTCTTCTTCACTTGCCCTGCATGTATTTCTCTTTCTGTCATGTTCTCACCTCTTTTTAAGCGTCGACGGGCAAGTTTAATCTGGTCTTGCAGAATCTGGACCCAGTCTCTGGGACCAGGAAGCTTCTCAATTCCATTGGCTGTGCAATACTTTTCTGTGAACACTAGATTCATACACATACATGTAAACAAATACAGATTTAGAAGTTTATATAAACTGAAAAAAAGCAAAACAATAACAACGGTATAGAAAAAAATTCACTTTTCACAATTAATTACAAAGAAATGCAAGTACACAAATAATAAACATTTATTTATATATGCATTATTATAATATATCAAACCAACAGCTTCATGATTTTTACTCAAATCTAACATAAAATTTTTTTGAACATTTTATATTGAGTTTTATCACTTAAAACTTAACCATCTTCCTGTGAAATGTTTTGAATGAAAAGTTAAATCTTTTAAATGAACACCACATGGTTTGATTATTTATGACCTATTACCTAATGCAATGACATTTTCAGGTGTGACATTTTTAAGCGCCCAAATACTTATTAGGACCGTTATATGTATGACAGTGATAAATGTCAGGCAAAATTCATAATAACGTTCTCCTTTACACTGATGTTGTGTAAGTTCTGGTCTGGTTTAGTTACTTTCACAAACCTTTAATGGCTCCGACTATGTTTTGATCGAGTCCTTTCCTGGTGTCGTTCAGTCCTCTCTTCCTCTTGCCGTTGGGCAGTGAGTTTGCCAGTGTGGTATCATCGAAGAACGCACACACCAGTTTCCTGAAGAGCAGGCTGCCAGAGCGAGTGTAGTTCAGTACGATAGAGTCCAACTGTGCTTTAGGAATAAATACGTCATAATCCTCAGCCAACTGCACCTCCGGCTGGGAGAGACAGACGGGCGAGATATTAATAAAAGGAATTAATACACACTCATGCACTTAGGAATTAACACATACATTGACACACAAACTGTAATCATCCAAAATTTCACTTTTAGCCAGGTGAGACAAAAGAAGATCATATTAATAATACTTTCTGAGGCATATACTCATACATACACACTCTTGTCAGAATAAACACATAACCTTGACAACTGTGAAACCATATTTATATACACTCCTTCTCCTTCTGTTGATTCTATCCTTCACTCATTCTGCTGAGAGAGGGAGACATGGCCGGCTATCAGTCTGATGGATGCAAACAAGGCCCAAAATCAGAACTTGCCAAGAGTGAAAATGTGCATTGGCAAAAAAATAAGTTAATAAGTTACTGGCTAGCTGAATGCTTCCTTTTAAAGAATTTAATCATGCAAGTTTTTAAATCACAGTCGATGTCGATATATATATATATATATATGTACTACCTAGTTAAGTCCCTAGTTAACTTAAGCAATATCACAAAAGCAACAAAGCAACAGTGGTGTTGTGAGTGTGTTATTGCTTTTATACAAAAGTTGCCAATTATTTTATCTGCTTTTGTCCTGCCAATGAAAATAGTTCCAAACAACAGAACTGAATAACAGATACAATGACTCATTCATAAAGAAAGCTGTTTGATTCATTCCTGAATGAATCAGTGCTGTTGAACTAATTGGTTGAATATGAATATATATTAATATATTTTAATAATTATTACTTTAATAAATACTAAAAATAATTATGTCATTTAAATTATATATATATATATATATATATAGTATATGCCAATCAGTTTTTCTTCATTCACCAATTCATTACCAAATCTATTCCCAGTGTACCTCTGTGGTGCTTTGGCCTCTGGTGACGCTGTAGAGAGAGGGAGGAGTCTTGGAACTGGGAATGGGATCTGTGATAAATATTGCCATTGTTGGGGGCGTGTCCTCTCTTGACTGATTACACTCAATAACAGCATCAGCCTCAGCGGGTGGCGACAGGGGTGTGGTTCTTTTAGTGGGCGTGGCCAGAATTGTCACTCTGTGACCCGGTCTCCTCTTTTGGGTCCTCCTCCTGGAGATGGAGGTTCGGGATGAGAGCGAGACCTGGGAGCCCTGTTTGCCCTGGGATCCTGAGAGTACAGCAGAACACGGGTGAATGCGGCTGTACATGTGTTCAGTTGAGTTTGAGTGTAGTTCTCTTTGATTTACCTCTCTGAGTTTGGATTAGTTTCCTCATGGTACGTAACTCCAGCAGAATGGCCTGCAGGGTGCTCTTGCAGTTGCACATACAGCAGCTGGGCTCAGTTGCCATGGCATCAGGCACAGGGGGCAAGGCCATGTCTGAATCAGAACACACATCGTCAACACAATGGCCATCACTGATGATGTCTAACACCCAGAGGCTCCAAGCACCCGGCACAAAAGCCATCTGACTTACTGACTCCAGTGAGTGTGTGTGTGTCAGACTGACAGTAAGGGAGTTATTGTGTCTTTTTGTGTGTATACAGAAAGAAGACATTACGTGTTTGCTGTGTTATCTAGAGCTGTCTAGACACTTGCTGCTGCAGTGCCAGACTGCACATCTTTGTAGCCCACAGTCACATAAAACAACTTCCCCTGGAACAAATCCCAATGGGGGTTCAAGTAATGTCTTCAAGCACTTCAAGCAGAAGCATGGCTTCGCTGAGTTTAACACAAAAAAAGAAAGAAAGAAACAGCAGAGCCACTAAAGGCATCCAACCTCATGATAAATTGTAGTAACTAGAGGTGAAGAGATCAAATAAAATTAATGTACTAAAATGTAAATATAAAAAATAAAATAAAAAGCACTAAACTATAAAATAAGATTAAATTAAATTAAATAAAAAATAATGTACAATGCGCTACATTAAGTGAACAGATAGAAAATACAGTGGGCCAAATTTCTCATATCTACAATGTGTCAATTTCACTGCATTAGATTTTGAAATTGTCCAACCAAGTGGCATCTGCAACCAAAGGATGCTATGATTTAATAATTAAATATATATATATATATATTAATTGTTTTACCTGGTAATGATGAATTGAGTGAATTAAGTAAATGGGTAAATTGAGAAAATGTGCTGGCCATAAATATTTGTTACAGAACATAAAACTATTTTGCATAAATAAATAAATAAAGCAGTATTTCTGTTGCTCAAACAGTAAAGCACAACCATAGCAATGCCAAGGTCATGGAAATGTGTGAACTAAGAAAATGTTTATCTTGAATGCAATGGAAGTTGCTTTGGATAAAAGCATCTGCATGTAAATGTTATCATTTAACACCTACCAAACTTCTTTTGTGAAATGTTTGCTTGAAAAGTGTGCTTGTGCTATATTTATTTAAAATAAATGCCACTTATTTTGACAACTTGTTATCTAATGCAATGGATTTGTCGTTTAATTCAAATTCATACATTTTAAAGCATGACTTCAATATCCAAATATGTCTTGACTTAACAAACCTTCTGAAGGTACTGTAATAAAATCGCTTCATTGTTTAGAGACTCACCATTAGCTTTCGAGTGGTTGAGCACTCTCTGGGTTTTGGAGCGGGTGCCGTACTGCCCGTGAGTCATCAGGACTGAGCTCCAGCCATACTGGAGATGTTCAGGGGCCGGGCTCTGAGCCACAGGCAGGCTGAGAGCCTCCTCCTGAGACTCCTGTTTGAGGGTCTCACCCTCTCGTCCAACGCGCTGGTACACTCGTCCTGTCTTGTCACTCAGCAAGCGCATCATGCCTGTTATCTGCTTCTTTATCTCCATCCCTTCATCACCTAACCAGACTGAGAGACACAGTTAACACACAGAGCCTGCACACAGCCATAAAGTGTGTTATGATGAACGACAGCTACCTTCAGTCTCAGAGGCATCCAAGGCATCTCCTTCAGTGTCATTCTGGTCTACATCATCCATTTCATGGCTAAAATCTAAATGAATCACACCAGAGTTTTCACATCATTATGAGGTCATGACACAATTTCGTTTTATAATGCTTTTTAGCCTTTTATTCATAGGAGAGTAGAGAAAAAAATATCTATCTATCTATCTATCTATCTATCTATCTATCTGTCTGTTCACAATGTGAGATCATGTCAATGACTTAAAAATATGCTTAACACTTCAGTATCAGCTTAAATGTACATGACTATTCTTATAAAAACTTCAAACTAAAGTCATATTTCATTATATATATATATACGTGTATATATATATATATATATATATATATATATATATATAATGTAATAAAAATGCAATGAATTTTGACATGACAATTAGATCTCTGATAACAGTATTTAAAATAAACAGTTTTTATTATTTTATTATTATTATTATTTGTTTTTGTATTATTTGATTTGTACCATTTCTTTCTCCCATACAGATATATACAGTACAGTGCTGAGGATAAAGATCACCCAAGACAAAAAAAATTATTCACCATACATGAATGGCATAAAATCTATATCTGTTTTGTATAATTTAAGATTTTTTTTTTGGTCGGCTATATATATATACATATATATATATGATAACTTTTGTATGACACAGTACAGTGTAATATACTAGAATGGATATCAGTCAAATTTCTGAAAGTGCCTGCATTGATCCAACTCGGTTTTGATTAGGTAAGAGGGGGGAAAAAAATGTTTTATTAATTTTTAATAGCACAGATATTTCTCTCAATTTGAACGAGCTGTTAAAAATGCATCTATAATAATTATGAAAGCGTCTTAAAATACTTTTAGATGCAGTACAGCAGGACGCTGCTTGACATGTCATGCACTACTGGTGTGATGCCACTCATAACAGCAGCTGTATGCGTGAGGTCTGTGCGGTGCAGATGTGATGGAGTGCTGCTGCAGGACCACCTGTAGGCTGCGTGACTGTGAAGAGCAGCAACCAGACCGTTATTCTATTCCATCACACCTGAACAAGTGCACACGGACAGACTAAACGCATTAGAAGATGGAAATGTTTTTACTATGAACGTTGCCGAAAAACATGTGATTAAACAAAACGAATAAACCAAACGATTCGATCCGAATGAAGCGTCTTGTGATGATGCGAGCAGGACAATGAGGGAGTGCTACACTGTATCACAGGTGCATTCCAGAGTGCTGACGTAACGCCTCCGCTGTGCTCTATTGTCTGCTGTCATCTGTCTGCTGTCATCTGTCTGCTTACCTGCATCCTTCACCAGCTTAAAGCTCTGCGATTTCCTGCTCCGCTTCCTCTCCACAAACTCCATCTGAAGGGCAGAGCGGTGAAGAGGCAGAATCCAGCCCAGTTCATCAGCAGCACACAGGCTCTTTAGTCTCTGACACACTCATTAAGTCCAGCTGATGATGAGTGAAGCGAACCTGAGCTTTATTAATAAGCGCGAGCCTCTCTGGACTGATGATGATGATGATGGTGGTGGTGAGGAGGAGGAAGAGGAGGATGAGGACGCGTTAACATTCTCCTGCGGGGCTGCTCGTTTACGATGTAAATAAATAACCTCTTAATTCTTTCAGAATTCGTCACGTCTATTCCTTTGCGCCACCTGATGGTCGCTAATATTTCTGGGACGCAAATATGAGGGTCCAGATTTACATTGGACAGACTGGAGGAAAACGACTCAGTCGCTGGAGTTCTGTTGTCAGGAGGAGAAGAAACTTTCCTCTCAGTTTTGGCAGTCGGCGACTACTCTCACAAAGGAGTAATGCGTTGAAAAGTTTAAACTTTTATTTATAAAAAAAAAAAAAAAATCACATCAGTGTTTTAATAACGGAGAACGGGAAGCAAAAGCGGACATTAAAAAGAAAATCATGAATTTTCACTGAAAATTCTAAAATTACATTCTTTTACACTTCCAAAACCATTTAACGGTATTTTACTGTAAAATTACATGAAATGTACCATTAGCTCTACTAAATGTCAAAATCACCATATAAAGTAAGAGAACTTACCGTTTACCAACTAAAAGGTTTTTACCATAGAATTTTTAAAAAGTTAAAACTTTAATTAAAAAAAAAAAAAAAAAATCACATCTGTGTTTTAATAACGGAGAACGGGAAGCAAAAGCGGACATTAAAAATAAGAAGATCATTGAACGTTATTATAATCTATAAAACATGTAAATAAATACAATTAAACCTAACATGTATCCATTTAAAATAAACCTGAACTATCACCATAAAAAATAATAATAATGTAGGCCTAGTGAATGACCGCTGTTCAGTTACCAAGCATTCCGGACCAAATAAATAAAAAATAACACGCAATACCACCTAAAATAAATAAATAAATGAAATAATTATTAACATTTTCAATTCAACTAATATTCTTACTATAAAAATAATACGGTATATGTTTAATATATGACGTGAAGAAGATTTGAAAAAGATAAAAATACAAACTGTGTTCTTTCTTTTGTCATTTATGTTGCGAAAACAGAAGTTTGCGATTGCGTGCACTTTTCAAACTTTTCCCAGCGTTAGTCTCACGTTTGTCCACTAGATGGCAGTAATGACTCAGAGTGCTCTCCAGCAGCCAGCGGCCGACAAACGGCGAACGGAAGCGTCTAAACTGCTTCCCGTTGGATGTTTATGTAGAAAAGAGACACTTTCTGAAACAATCTTAATCGTTTTTGTTACTTATTGAGTTATGGACATCCTCAAAGCAGAGATCGCGAGGAAAAGAAAACACATAGAGGAGAAAGAGCTGGTCGATGTGAGTAGCGACTGTTCTAGAATAGTAACGTTAGGCCAGGTCGGGTTAGACTTGACATCGCTGTGTTTTAGGTTCGTGCTGTTGTGTAACGCTGTACTCGTGTGGTTTCTCCAGGACTCAAAGAAATACTTTAAACGGGCTGACCTCGCGCGTAAGGAAGAGGAGGAGTATTACAGGAGATGTGGATACAAGGTATAAACTCCAGCTGTGAATCTAGACAACATTACATCATGATACACTGCTTCACTTGCACATTAGTTACTTCCATTTCTCTCATGAGGTTGAACACAGCTGCTCAAAAACACACTTAACCACACAGTATGTGTTGTGTTATCCGTTTAATACATTTTTGGTTTTCAATCTTTTAGCTGCCACGGACCCCCGAATATGAACGTCCTAAAATTTTAAAGGCAACTACAACTATATTTTCATGTATAAAGACCCAATTGATGCAGTGAAAAATTAAATTGATATTTATGTATTATATAATATTTAAAAATATTACATTTTTTATTATATTAATATAGTATTTGTATTTATTCTAATCGATTTCTGTCTTAGTTTTATTACCTTGTTTTTCCTCCACCTTTCCACTAACTCTCTTGGAGTTCCCAGACTGCAGTTTTAGATGACATACAGGGACCGTCTGCTTGTCTGTCAGTCATCCGCTGTGGCTTTAAAAGAAATGAACTGTCCTATTAATAATGTGTCTTCCATCCCATACTCACTTGCTGAAAATGTACTTGTCCTGATGCCATCCAAGATGTAGATGAGTTTGTTTCTTCATCAGAAGAACAGATTTAGAGAAGTGTAGCATTCCGTCACTTGCTCACCAACGGATCCTCTGCAGTGAATGGGTGCCGTCAGAATGAGAGTCCAAACAGCTGATGAAAACAACACGGTGATCTACACCATCCAGTCCATCAATTAATGTCTTGTGAAGTCAAAAGCTGCGTGTTTGTAAGAAATAAATCCATCATTAAGACGTTTTTTAACTTCAAACTGTTGCTTCCAACTAAAATATGAGTCGTCTATATTTTAGACTCATATTTTTAATATGAGTCACTTCAAGTCACCCCCACTTCACTTCACTGGGGGAAGTTGTGGCCTAATGGTTAGAGAGTCGGACTTGTAACCCAAAGGTTGTGGGTTCGAGTCTCGTACCGGCAGGGGGGGGGGAGTGAATGTACAGCACTCTCTCCCACCTTCAATACCACAACTGAGGTGCAAGGCACCGAACCCCCAACTGCTCCCTGGGCGCCGCAGCATAAATGGCTGCCCACTGCTCCGGGTGTGTGCTCACGGTGTGTGTGTGTGTGTGTTCACAGTGTGTGTGTGTGTGTTCACTGCTGTGTGTGTGCACTTTGGATGGGTAAATGCAGAGCACTAATTCCAAGTATGGGTCATGTCACGTCACTTCAAGCCAAAATATGAGTCCATAATATTAGTTCTTCCAGTGGAAAAAGTCCATTCACTGTTGTCCTTTTACATCAAAATCTACTGACTTATTTGTTTAGAACTGTTTTCGCTTGTGCTCGATCTGTGCTTATTTCTCTCCTGATTCAGACTGTTTTGACTTTTTCACTGGACAAAGCAAAATTATGGATTAATACTACATTTCTCGAAATCTGCTGTGATGAAGAAACAAACTCATCTAAATCTTGGATGGCCCGAGGGTGAATCAAATTGCAGCAAATTTTCATTTTTGGGTGAACTGTTCCTTTCAAAAAGCTCTTTCTCTCTAGGTTCTCTTCTCATCCTGGAGTGGTGTCTTCTGTTTGCTGTGTATCTCTTCTCATATTCTCTTTCCTGCTGTCTGTCTCTAATTGCAATACTTTGAATTTCAGTTTGTAATTGGTGTATTTGTGAGGAAACCCGACTAACACTCTGTGTACACGCAGGCAAATGATGCTTATCTGCAAATGGCTATAGGAAATGCTCCATGGCCCATCGGTGTGACTATGGTGGGTATCCACGCTCGTACTGGACGTGAGAAGATCTTCTCCAAACACGTCGCCCATGTGCTCAACGACGAGACCCAGAGGAAGTACATTCAGGTCTGAAATGACAGTATGAATAGAAGCGTGATATTACATTGTGCGCGTTATATTAGCGTTGTGATGTTCATCAGATCAGTGATCCGATCTTTTTTTTGTATTTTCAGGGGCTGAAGAGATTGATGACAATCTGTCAGAAACATTTCCCAACGGATCCCTCAAAGTGTGTGGAGTACAACGCTCTGTGACGTACTAATCACAGCATTCAAAGTCATGTCCTGTCATATTGAATAATGTATGGCTGTCAATCATTCTCTCATGTTGTAAATAAATGATTTACTGTAAATATACTTTGCGTCATATTCTGAGTTGCATTTTTTAAATTCATTTTGAGGAAAACTGAATCTGTTTTTTCTTTGTGAGTGAGATGAATTCATGCATATTCATATTTATTTCTCTCAACATGGGGACAGGAGAGCTGTCAATCAATAAATTTGAAAAAGTAACAGATATTCTCTTGTAAATTAAAAAGTAATGCGTTACTTTACTAGTTACTTGAAAAAAGTAATCTGATTACGTAACTCGCGTTACTTGTAATGCGTTACCCCCAACACTGTTTATGAGTAGCAATTGGGCGGGCTTTGTTGTGAAAACCTGGCAACCCTGACACACACACACACACACACACACACACTTTCATCACATGAGAGAATAACGGCTTCCAGCTGCTTGTGAAAGCTGTAACTGAATAAGCTGCTCTGCTCCAGACCCTGCAGGGTTCATACAGAAACATTATTCTGGAAGAATGGGCTATGAAGGTAAAATATTTGCATAGATTTATGTTTTTACTGTATGTGTACTTAAAAGTACCATTCTGGCAGCAAGAACCATCCTGAACTAAATGAAGATTAATGTCTTGGCTATGATGTGTTTATTGAACCAATCAGATAAGAGTAAATGGAGAGTCAGCGAGAGGCTCATGTGATTGGCTACAAGAAGAAGGTGGACCCGCCCTCCCCCTCAACTTGCAAAATTCAGTTAGTTAGGGATGGGCGATACCCCTTATTTTGTTTTCGATATGATACCGGCAGTATCGTTGATATCGATACCGATTCGATACTTCTGCACTAAACTTTTAAATTATGAAATTTATTAAATTACTAAATAAATGGGTAATGAAACCCACTTAACTTTATGTATAAAACGCATTTTAACCCGTTTAATCCCCGATTTTTCCCAGTCATGAAAATATCCAAATGATGTGTTAGTAACCCTTTGAAATAATCAATCTTTTTTTTTTTTTGAAAAGGGTGGGAAAAATGTTATTTTATGGTCCGTCACAATTGTAACCGGGAGG